GCTGGAGCAGCCCCCCACCCCTGACAGGCAGGAAGCTGCTCCAGCCCCCACCAGTTAGCTGGAACTGGTAAGCATCACCCGTTAACCTTTCAAATCCCAATTGTGTAACCCCCTCCTTCCTTCATATTGTTATAGAAACAAAAGCCATTATTTTGGTCCTGACTTAAGGGCAGGGGACTGGACTCAATGGTCTCTCGAGGTCCCTTCCAGTTCTAGTATTCTGTGAGTCTATGATTGCCCTTAAATCCTTCTGACTTTAAATCTAGAACAGATAAAGCTCCTTAATAGTAATAGAGATGTAGCCATGTTAGTCTAGTCTAGCTGAAACAAAAGACAGAACTATGCAACACTTTAAAGACTCACAAGATGTTTTATTAGGTGATGAGCTTTCGTGGGCCAGACCCACATCCTCAGATCAAATTGTGGAAGAAAATTGGCATGACCATATATAGCAAAGGGATACAATCAAAAAAAGTGAACACATATAAAAAGGACAAATCAAATTTCACTTTTTTTGATTGTATCCCTTTGCTATATATGGTCATGCCAATTTTCTTCCACAATTTGATCTGAGGAAGTGGGTCTGGCCCACGAAAGCTCATCACCTAATAAACCATCTTGTTAGTCTTTAAAGTGCTGCATAGTCCTGTTTTTTGTCAAAGCTCCTTAAGGTACTGCCCGGCCACTGGACACGGCTGGGGTGGGGAATGCAAATTTTGTGGGGCGGGTGGGTAATGCAAACTCTGTGGGGCACACAAAGCCATGTACTCTCCAGTGGCTCTCTCCCGTTCCTTTAAAAGTGCTAGCCCCATGTTCCCAGCCTTAACCCTATGCTGCAACAGAGATACAGCTCAGCTCTGGGAGCTTCCAAGGCCTCGCATGCTGGACAGAGTCCATGGCTGGATGTACATGCTAGCATGTTACTAGCCATATAAGGATTGGCACCTGCTTTCCTCTGGTCCTTCTAGCTTTACGGAATGATAACACGTGCTTCATGCATCTGGCTCAGACCGTGACACATATCTGCACAGAGAGACAGACTGTACTTCTGCAGCCAAATTAAGACCCAGTGTAACCGCTAAAGTCAGTAATGTTCCAGTATGGATGAATTTGTCCCTTGTTCATTGCAGTATTGGGAAGTCTGTGTTTGACTTGTCTCTCTGGTTCCAGGAGACTAGTTTAGGGAAGGATTTGGCTCAGCGTCTGAGGAGCATAGAGCTTTGTTTGCTCAGTTCTGTTCAGGCCGAAGACCTGAAGAAAGGGGGAAATTACCTGTGATCTTCAGAACTGAATGTTCCATGTCTGTTTCTTGAATCAGGGAGAAACGCGAGGGTTTGGAGCTGTTGGGGCAGCAGACTGGCATTTGGCCTTAGGAGAAAATGTTTTGTGACAATCCTAGAATTCCTCAGCATCCAGAGCCTTTGATCTCGTAGCAGCAGCAAACTTGGCTGCTGTCCAATCTAAACGATTCTCACTCCTTCTTGGGAATATGTGCATATTGGACTGTCTGAATAGCAGTGGGAATTGGCTATGTATTTGAGGGTGTCTGTAGGGTACAGATGATGTGGCACCAGGCTCGACCAAAAAGTGATGAAAACTTCTCACATTTTTCCTCCCGCAAAGGCAAAACGCAGGTTTGAGGTGCACACATTTCCCCTATGGGTCAGATCTGGCCCACACTGTCTGTACTCTGAGTCCTGCTTCGGGGCAGTTAGCAAGCCTTTGGCTAGGTCCTGCTGCTTTCTATGTGACTGCTTTGTCTCACCCTAGTTGCCTGGGCTTTCTGTGGAAAGCAGGGTGTATGCCCAGCAGGTTGAGGAGGTGCTAACACTGGAAGGGTGCCCAGCAGTCCTGGGCATTTCCAGCCCTTCCACAAAAATGGAGTTGTTAGACTCAGGTATCTTAGCAACAGGGACTTCTTGTCATTCTCCTCTCTCTGTTTCTCTGGCTGCAGTTCTCAACAGTGTTACCATGGTATCATTACAGCTCATAAAGGCATTACCACAGTGCGGTGTCTCTCCAACTCATGATGGCCTCCCCATAGTATTGCCCTGTCTTTGGACTGTGTTGCCGTGGCATCACGTCACCACTGGGCCATACCATTTTGGTGTCTCCCCTGCTTCCGGCTGTGTCGCTGTGGTGTTCTTACAGCTTTAGACTGTGTTGCCACTAAGTCACCCCATCTCTGGACTGTGTTGCGGCTGTGCCCCTGGGCTGTGTCATTGTGGTGTTGCTAAGGCATTACTTAAGTGTTTGGGCCCCTTTCTGTAGAACGCTGTAGGTTTTTTTTTTTTTTAATAGCACAGCCTAATCAGGCTCTCCTGCTCTTCCAGGCAGTCAGGAACCAAATTCTCCCCACAAGTAGAGACGTTATTGATATCTGCAGAAACTCTTTTCTGAGTGGCTTGTCATTGCAAATGAGACTTTGCCTGCGATTCTCTTTCAGCCACCCAGAGATGGCACATCTTTGCATGTTAGAATTGAGAGTCCCATAGATCTCTTTGCATTAGACCTGTCCTTAATAAGAGATAATTCCTGACCCCTTGGAAATCATATATATAGTAGCCCAGTGTCTGTGAGTCTGTAACGCCAAAATGCTGGCTGTTCCCTCTGGGGGGGGGTGCTGTTGCCTGAAATGCTGGCTGTTCCCTCTGGGCGGCCCGTGCTGCATGGGAAGTGCGGGGCCCAAATAGCCGCTTGCGCCACTTGCTCCCTCGCAGCGGCCTGGCTGAGCAGCGCAGAAATCAGCTGAGTGCCACGGTGGGAGACGAAGGGGGGTGGGGTGGTGACGTGCGGTGTGACAGCGGCTCCCGGCCCCGCCCCCTGGCCGTGAACGTCACCGCCCCCCTTCGCCTCCTGCCGTGGCGCTCGGCTGACTTCTGCGCCGCTCAGCCGGGCAGCCGCATGGGAGCAAGTGGCGCAAAGCGACCGTTTGGGCTCCGTGCCCCCCATGCAGCATGGGGAGTGTGGAGCCCAAACAGCCATTTGGGATCCGTGGTCCCCTGAGTGAGAGGCAGGAGGGGGAGGAGAAGTGAAAGAGAGAGACGGAGAGAGAGGCAGGAGGCGGAGGAGAGCTGAGAGAGAGAGAGACGGAACGAGAGACCGGAGGCTCAGGAGAGAAGACCGACATGCAGGAGAGACCTGAAAATCCTGTCTTATGACGGGCTAATTGGCTAGTAGGAAAAGAGTGTAGCAAAGGCAGAGATGTCTGGTCACACAGGCAAACTACAGAGCGAGGTGTCGGGCTTGACATGTTAGTCACTGCCAGTGCTTTAGTTCAGTTCCATGGATCGACACAGAGGCTCAGACCCTGCTTCCCAGAAGTCAGGTGGCAAAGGGACTACAATACACAAAAGTGACCTGCACCCACCCTTGGCACATGCTCCCAGGAATCTCAGATTCACATCTGATGTCCCTTGTGGGAGCCCCTCTTTGCCCAGAACACAGAGACAGTCAGAGTCCATGTCATCACTTTGTGCAGGCATTTCCCATCCAGAAAAAGCTGCTGCTTCAAGATCTTATTGGGAGAGACAGTCCCGTGAGTTTCTGCACCTCCTGGAGAACTTCAAGCCCATCAGCTGGTGGGAGACGTGCACAGAATCCAAGGGATCATTATGTTCACACTGACCACAGCAGGCATCACAGGGTAGCCAGAGTTTAATTCCCTGAGTCAGGAGAGCTAACAGTGATGCCTCATGAGAACTACTCTCCGGAGACCTGGTTTCAAATCCTCATTAGATCACAAGGGAGAAGGAATTTGGTGGGTCTCAAACAACCTCAGGGAATACTAGGAAGCAGAATTCATTTAGCTTATTATACAGACAGGGCACTTTAAAACTCCCCCTGTCTTGCAGAGTGAATTCCACTGAGTACCATTAAGTTTCTGTAAAAACAAACAGGACAGCCCCTGAGCAGATAGGGTCAAGACTGTAAAACTTCAAAATTTCAGTCTGGGCTTATCCCATGGCTGCCTTAAGTTCAGGTGGGTAATTCTGAACAGGAGTCCTATAGAGAGCAGGCTGCCCAACCCTTCAGTCTTCTGGGTTAATTCAATAACACTTTCCACTGGACAGCTCCTAGGCTAGGGGATGGGTAAGACAAGGTATGTGAATGGTGCTTCTTATGGTCTGTTAGCCCTGCTCTCCTAGAAATAAATGTGGTACAGGTTAGTGGGGGTGGACTGGTTTATTCCTGGCAGCAGAGAGGAAGCCATGGCATGTGCAGATACCTTCCTTAGCTGGGGCAGCTTTTTGGCTTTGTTCCTGTTTGCCCAGCACCTCTAGGGAATTGCAATGGGGAGAGTCTTGTTTGTGGTAAATGACTGGTAGGGCTTTCAGGTTTCTTTCACATTGTTCCCAGATGCAGTGTCTGGGCCACGTGGCTGTGTTTTTACATAAACAGGCAATGACAATTGGAGAGACTCAAGTCTCACAATGTTAACACATTTCTCTCTCTGATTTCAGGAGCTGTCCTTCACCTTTTAAAAGAAAAAAAGAAAAGCAAGGTAAGGGTTTGTGAAACATAAGTGGAGAACAGTGACAGAGTCCCACTGGCTTTTGGGCTGCTACTGACAAAGCTATGAACCTGGATACTCATCCAGACTCCAGAGGCCCCATCCCCTTCCAGTAATCTTTATGTCAAGTTTCCCTCCATGTGAAACTGGGCCAAGACCAGACACAAGCCCTCCTCTGAGACCTGATGGGACCATCTTGGTCAGTGGAGCACAAGTTTCATAGAATCTGTTTCCAAAGCAGAGAGGAAATGCCCTTGTCTGAGGCTAGGGTTGCCAGGTGTCCGGTTTTGAATCCGACAGTCTAGTATTTTAGCTTTCTGTTCGGGAAACAAATTAAGAAAATATAAATGAGAAAATATAAATGTCCGGTATTTTCTAAATAAGATGTAATGTAGATTGTGATGACATGTCAAGTGTGTCCGGTATTTTTGTTGAAACCATCTGGCAACTCTATCTGAGGCATCTTCTAAAAGCAGGGAAGTGTTTGTGCTATGGGGTTGATACATGGGGGGTATGGGCATATGAGGAAGGAGAATGACATAGGAACAAACAGCAATGCCAGACTCTGACTTAGAGGCAGCAGAGTTCTCATAGCCCCTGAGAGATGAATCCTCTCCAGTTTTTGTTTATCTCACCAGGCCTCTGGAGTTGCTGCCTGTTGTGGTGCCTGAATTGGTAACATTGCAAACTTAAGGGAAGTCTGACAACCACCAAGAATAAAACATAATGCCTAATGCAGCTAAGAAGCCTTTGAAAGCCAGGAAAGACATAATCCTGCCCACTGAAATCAATGGGAGCTTGGCCATTTACTTCAATGGGTGCAGGAGTTACTCCCCAGTGCACTGTTATTTCTTTTTATCGTTGTTTCCTCCTAGATAAAGGTAATGCAGTTTGTAATAGGGTGCATGCCTGAACAAAGTTCTGAAAGGAGAGGTTTGTGCCCATGCTGGTGTAGATACTGTACCAAAGGGGTGTGTGCATTATAAATATGATACACACAGAAACAATGCTTTTGGGTTTGGGAATTTGTTATTGTGCCTTTTGGTAAATAGTCATATTTATGCTAAATTACCCACAAAACAATACCAGATACACAATGTTAGGGCTGTGAGAAGCTGGTCATAAGGGATTTGTGTCTCATGCCCATTCTTTCACCTGCAGTGCCTTAAGAGTGTTATTAGGATTTTGTGAGGGAGTGTCTAAAAATTCTGAATATGTTTAAAATGGCTAAATCTCATACCAAAAGGACAAACAGTGGGTCTGAGCTGCACATAGGGCCTGCAGCTATCTGTCTGGTGTACCTCCTGCTAGCTATTGCGTGGTTCACAGCATGTTGTCTTCTCTGGAAAAAAAATAGGTCTGGGCTTTCTTGTGTGATTCAGACTGGGACTTCAACTGGGCTGGAAATTTTAAAAGGGCCTAGAGGGGAGAGCCTATGTACTGGACACCGTCACTATGAAATGCAAAAGATGGAACAATATCCAGCAGTTAAGTCACCCTGTTTCTCTGCTGTTTCTTTTGCAGGCACTAGAGTAAAACAGACAAGCCATCAGCACCAGGATGACAGGAAGGTAAATGGCCTCTATAGACATTGTACTAAACAGACCAGTTGAAAATCCCTGTTCAGCTTCTTAGGGTGCGTCTGCATTGGAACTGGGACAGGAAGGGTAGACTCATACAGCTACTTTTGATTGAGTTAGCTTAATAAAAATAGCAGTCATGGCAATGCATAGGATACCTGCTCAAGTACATGCCTCGGATCCTGGGCAGGATTGTACTTGGGCACCTGCCCATGCCACTGGGGCTGCATGGCTTTTTAACAAATCTAGCTCAATCAAAGCTAGTTTCTGTTTGTCTGCATATACTGCAGTTGTGCTTCTTGATTGCTGTACAGAAACACCTTTGCTTCCCGGGCTAGAGGGGCTGGGAGTGCTGTGGGAGCAGCAAGTTCAGCCCCTAGAGTCATCCCCATTGCCAGGCAAACAGGGACTAAGAATGGTTTGAAGGCAGCATGTTTTGGCCTATGGAGAGCTGGCATAGCCTTCTGGCTGACGCTAGGCACAGTAAGTGGTGTCCAGCCCTCCTGTGAGCCCAGTGTGGGATGGGAGGAAACAATGGGGAGCTGATTCTCTAGCACTCTTTTTCCAGAAGGGCCTGGAGGCTGCTCACATGTATGATGACGTCTTCGAGTTTCCAGTCTATGCTACTGTGAACAAGCCCAAGAATGTGAAGCGTGATGACAGTGTGCACTATGCAGATATCCAGGTGTTCACCAGGGCCCGGGAGCGCTCAGCTGAAGAGGTGAAGAACTTGCAAATGCAGAACGCAACAGAGTATGCCACCCTCAACTTCCCCCATCCTAGGCTGAAATACGACAGCCGAAATGGGACCTTGGTATAAGAAGTGCAGCGGCTTCCTCCAGCAAAAGTGTTTCACAGACAGAAGCGGTAGATTCAAGCCTGTACCATGGATACATGGGTCTCTCTGAGAAGGCGAAGAGAAGCTGGATCCTCCAGTTGCATTTGGTTTTGAAGGACTCTAATTATTTGTTGTAACCGAATAAAACTTTTCACTAGGTTTTGCTGAGAAAATCCAACTTACCCCTTTGGAAATATCAGGGGTGTTTCTGAGGCTGACAGGAGCTCTCCTTGGGCTGCTCCCAGTTGAGTGAAGCATGAAATCATAGCCCGATGCCATGAGGAAGGGTTGTTCATGCCATGGCAGGAGGACTAGCCAACCACCATTATGCAAGCAGATCTGGAAACCCAGAACAAAGGATTAGCTAAGTTAGAACAAATATTAAGAAAACCCTGTAGCTGTTACAGAAGATGACAGGTGACAGATACTGCGAGGGAATGGAATAGACCATGTCACACTATGCATGCTTCGAAAACTACACTTGGTATGCTTCAGACACTAATCCCATACCATGTCCCCAATGAAGCAATGTATTCCCACCATGCACAGTGCACT